AAGGGCAGAACATTCTTCATGTAGCGGCCAAAAATGGAAATGGCAATGTGGTTAGGTATATACTCAAACAGGACCGGAAGCCCGACGCACCGCTGCTAAATGCGATAGATGAGGATGGAAATACACCTTTGCATTTGGCAGCAAGGTATGGCCATTGCATGGCTACATTTCTTCTTGTGAGTGACAATCGCGTTGAACGTTTCATTGTTAACAATAGCAATTGGACACCATATGAGTTGGCTGAAGAATTTTCCGAAAGAACTGAAGAGATATACATAAAAACAGATGAAATGGTATGCTATTAATTTGATCATCATTTATGGAGCTACAAAATTCTATATATTTTAGGAATGTTTCTGTTTTAATATTTTGGTATCTGGGCTTCCTCTTTGTTGCCAGCGTGCCAAGGAACGAAGGCAGTTTGATTCAAAGAACACTACCCCTGCGCCCGAGATCAAGGTATTTACGTTTATGATTATGATAAGTTTTTTTATTTAAGAAACAATGTTTTTTATAAAATACTATCCAAAAAAAGAGAGGATGGATTAATTAAATTTTTTTTTTATTAAATAGATATCTTTTATATCTTTATTTCAATAAAATCATGAAAAATTTTGTCCATATTTATTATTTTAATTGCTTTTAGGTTTTTATGGAATAAAAACATAGCTAAAAAAAATATATTTTTTAAAAGAAAATCATCAATTCATTATTCTTTTATCTTTTAATTAAAACTTATTTATAAGATTATGATAGGTTGTTATTAAAAAAAATAATTTTATAAAAACATTACTAAAAAAAATGGAACGTATTAATAAGGAAAATGGTTTTGATTAAAAAAATACAGATACCTTTTTTATTTTTATTTCAAATCAATTTAAATTATTTTTTTATCCTATAGAATTTAAATTATTTATGAAAATTAATTTTTATTGTCATGTAATTAAATAAAAAGAATTAAAATATCTCGCAGCACGAGATAAAAGATCTTTTATATATATATATATATATATATATATATTGTCTTTTGTTTTGTGTTAGTTAACACTAACAACTCTTTCTCAGTTTCTCTATTTTATAGGATTATATAATTTTCAATTTATTCTATATATTAAATACACGCATCAATTTCTAAGTTCCCATATAAATTTTTTTTATAATGTTCATGATTAAATACTCACACTCTTTTTTATATTCTATATATTAAATACGAACATTCTTTTTTATATTAACAATATTTAACTTGGAATCCTACTGTTGGTACTTGGCTTGTATTCGCAAAATTCGTAAGCCCTAAAACTGTACTTCAGCTTAATTATCTCATTTATCTCAAATGACTTTTTCTCAAACATGAACCAGTTTCATTTGCTTAGATTGTTGTCTAGCCATAGCACACACAGAGAGCACTGCATTTTAACATATATTATTATTATTATTATTATTATTATTATTATTATTTTGGACACAGAAAGAAGTTGATTCAAATAAGATGGATACAGAAGAGGCATCACCAAAGGACGAAATGGCGGTTGGGTATTTTAACTTGGTATTTTTGCTTTTCTTCTTTCTTTTTTTTCCCCCTTGCCATCCCTAATCTTTTAAACTTCTAGTTCAAGCCCAATTGATTTAACTTGTATACCATTATTTTAAAAAATTCTAAATAATTCCAGAAAATTACTGGTTCTGCGAAAGGCATTTGAAGGTCAACGTTTTTGGATGCAATTGAGGAAGTGCCAAGAACTCATTAAACAATTAAGTTTTTTCCCCCGTGCTATATATGCAGTTGATAACATTATCGATCTTATTCTTCAATGCCCGCCCTAAGAAATCCCTCAAGGACCTTTTCCCTGTTACTCGACTACCTATGTCACGAGCAAGAGAGGAAACAAAGGCCATGATAGGGAATGTTCTAGTGGTAGCAGTGCTTGTTGCTGGTGTAACCTTTGCGGGTGTTATACAACTGCCACAATCAAGGGATAACAATAACTCAAGCCATCGTCTTCATGAATTTAACAGCACTTATACAGCCTCCCATTACATCAATTATGAGCATCTTCTGCGTGGTTATTTATTTCTCGATGTGGGGGCTTTATGTATCTCTGTGGTGGCAGCTCTATTCCTTCTTTTGCCACTCGTTCATTATCCCACATTTCAAATCTCTGCAGTTGGGTTTTCAATATTCATGGTTTGTTCGGCTATTTACATGATGTTCGGGGCATTCCTTTTGTGTGTGAACATAGCATTCACAGGATCCCATCGTTGGTTGTTAACAATCATCATTACAGGGGTGGCCGTTGTTTTTCCTTCGGTTATTTCGCTATATTTCAACAAAGTTCGTCTACAGGTTCTCTTGCACTATTTCTACTACGGCCTTTTTTTACTGCTTATCTACATTAGGGGCTGGCGGCTGCCTAATAAACTCTCTGATCTCAAGAGAAGGCACAATCTCTAGTAAGTTCAGAGGTCGGGATTTTGGGATCGATAACATCTTGGATTGTGTCTGTCTAGCGATTGTGCATGGTAATAATTTGAACTTGTAATCACTCTTGCGTTTCCAATTGAATGTATGCGCACTTCTACTCTTTTTTCTTTCTTTTCTTTTAAGCATGCATTTACTAGACTCCTTTTGTTGTTGTTGGATTGAGTAAAAAAAAAAATTAAATCAAATATTCAAATTAAGATATCAACTTGGTTGCTCTTAACAGTACTAAAATGGCCGTCCCATAATCGTTGACACGTTGCATTACGATAAAATCAACAAACATCCATCCGTCCCATCCCTGCTCTAATTTGAATCAATAAGGTTCAAGGCATTTGCTTTAGATTTGACTTCACCCTTGCTGAGTAGATAAAAAGAGCTAGAACTTCAGGATTTTTTCTCAAGGTAAAAGAACGAGCAATTTCAAAAAAGGGTTTTGTTCTAGGAAATACAGCCAACACTACCACCCCACCATCAATAGCGATTTCAAAATCCTTTCGTATGTTGTCAGCTTTACAAAGTTAATTTTATAAACACCAAGGTTATTATCCTCTTTTCATTTTTCTCTTCATTCACCAACGTTACTATAAACTTTTGCATGAAATCCTTAAACCATGTTATATAATAATGTGTCATGTTATCATATAATATTGGTAATGTGGTAATAATTATTTTTCAAATTATTTTTTATTTTAAAATATATCAACATAATATATTTTTTATTTTTTTAAAATTATTTTTAATATTAACACATCAAAATAATCTGAAAACATTTAGATTGTGTTTGGTATTATGGTAACTGTTGAGGTTGTGATTTGAAAAAAATTATTTTATAAAAAATACTTTTAGTTGAGGTTAGTTTGAAAAAATAGGTGTTTAGTTAAAACTGTTATTGAAATTGAGGTTAAAGAAAAAGTAGTTTAATGTGTTTGGTTAAGATTGTTTTTAAAATTAAGATTATAAAATAATTTTTAAAAATATATATTAATATTGATGATTTTTAATTTAAATTTTATGGATTTAACTATTGCTATTACATCATGAAATATATCACACTTAAAAAAATTACTTTAACAAAAAACTATCTACAATTTCATTATCTATAAAATTTATTTGACAAGAACTACAAAATTAGATAAAATATTATCAAGAATAAAATTAAAATTACAATACGAGTGAATTTACTTCACCTTAAACTATTTAAAAAAAAATTATTATTCATGTTGATGTAAACAGTATAAGTAAAATTAATTAACTATACTAATTTAAAAAAAAAAACTATTTAGCGAACAGTGGAGACATCCTCCATTGTTCACTGAATAGTAGCTTCAGTTTGGCCGCGCAGAAAGCAGCAATTTATTGTTTTTCATTTCCCTGCGTTTCACACACAATAAATTGGGGATCCGTGCACAGTAAACAATTTTTTTTTACCAAACATTTGCTTAGTGTGTTTTTGAAAAAACGTAACCTTTCCTCGTAGCCAAACAGGCTTTTAAAATATTAACTTAAAACAAAAATAAATTAATTTTTTTTTAAATATATTTTTTTAAAAAAACAACAACTTCAAAACACTAGAAAACCTCTGGTCATACCTAAATTGTCTCCATCTAAATTAGTTTATTTACCAAAAATAAATTCTTAAAAGGGTTATTTGCCCGCCCTTTCTGTCTATTGACTTAGTTTTTTTTTTTATATATATATATATATATATAATTTCTCGTGTGTGTTAAATATCTAAGTTGTCCTCACACCTAAAAAGTTAATCAATCGCTGCTTTCATTTTTTTTTATTTATGTTTATTATTACTACTCCAAACAGTGAAACCTAATACCACCATACTGAATAGAGGTTTTTTTTTCCGATTAGATATCATTAAAATACGTCAATTTAACATCGAAAAAAAAATATCTCAATTACTTTTTTATGAAAAAATAAATCAGAAAATGAAATTCAAATCTTGGAATTTTAACAGCGTCTGCAAAAAACAAAATAAACAAAATGGGATCATTGTTTAAGAACTTACCTAAAGCATTTTAATGAGAGTTTTTGTTTGTTAAAAGTATTAATTCCAAGCCATAACAAACGGATTCAAGGATAAATGAATGTTACGACTAATTGTGTATTTAATAATGCAGTATATGATATTTTTATAAATATATATGTTTTAATTAAAAATGTATTAAAATTATATATTTTAAATATTTTAACACCAACACAGCCATTTAAAAAATACTATAAAAATCATTGATTTAATATATTTTTACATTAAAAATTTTTTTAAAAGTATTTTAAAAAATGAGTGCAACAACTTTACCAAATGAAAGCTAAATGGGCTTCGAATTTGGTCATTCGTGCATGACGCTGATTGATTTTCAAAATTTGTAATTTTTTGTTATTTTCTTAAAATCAACAGAGAAAATTTGGACAAAATCTGTCAAAAGTTAGTGATTATTTTGGGTTAATTGAGAAATTAGAAGGGTTTTTTCTTTTATTTTTGTAGTATATGAACAGTTTCTGTAATTGGTAATTGATTAGTATCATAAAATCATGCGGACCAATTGGATTGTACCTATAGCGATATTTTGTGATTTTTTTAGCATAGATTAAATATATTTTTTTTATTGTAAATTAGTTATTTTAGTATTTTTAAATTATTTTAATATGTTTGATATCAAAAATAATTTTTTTAAAAATAATTTTTTAAATAAAAAGTATTTAAAAAACAATTTTTACCTCCTCTATTAACTCTACAGATAAAAAACAAAAAGAAGACGCCCTTACATATGTCACAAAATCAGTTTGTGAAATAGTGTTACGAGTGCTCGACAAGTTTGTTTAGATAGTTTACAAAGTCATAGTTTGTTGCAAGGAGACTATCGTTGGACTTCATTTTAAATCTTATTTGAAAGTGTTATATATTTGTTTTTTAAATTATTTTTTATTTATAAATATATTAAAATAATTTATTTTAAATTATTTTAAACATATTATATTAAAACAATTTAAAAATATTAAAAAATAAATTTTTAAAACTATAAAAAATATTTTTTTAATCATGTATTTTTAGGTTAACTTACACATACATTAACTATTTTTCTAAGATTTTAAAATTAAGAATTAAATAATTTTTTAATGGTTTTGAGATTTTTAATTTTTAAATTAATAATTTTTAAAGAATAAATGAAGACTTCATCATGTGTGCACGTAATTAAACAATATAAGATAGAAACATGCTAATATAACATGTGTATTGAATTACTGGATTTACTTGGTGTCTACGACATGTACCAACCACAAATGACCGTCAGATTTGACTTAGAAGCATGATACGGTAAAGTAGGATAGTACTGAATTACTGGATTTACTTTGTGCCTAGGGCATGTGCCAATCACAAATGGTATTTGGAGAAGTTGGGATATATATATATGATTTTTTATTAAATAATAAATAATAGAAAGATAATAAATGATTAGATATTGAAATCAAATAATAAATAATAGTAAGATAATAAATGATTAGATATTGAAATCAATAATATAACATTTTCATCACTACGCGAGTTGCCAGTCATGGTGTGCTATCATGATGCTCCATTTTACTTCTATAAAATGCCTTTTTTTAGTACATCATCACTCCAAATCTATCATCAGCAACAAACTAAGCAAGCAACAATGGCCTTGTTAGACCAGAGCTTCTTTCATTACAGCCTCCTAGCTTACTACCTCCTAGGACCCCCTACCTTCATTGCCCTAAGGTTCTTTCAATTCCCATATGGCAAGCACAACCGTCTAGGATGGGGACCTACAATTTCTCCACCTTTGGCTTGGTTTATCATGGAAAGCCCCTCCACTTTGCTCCCCCTCATCCTCTTTCCCTTTGGCCAACACTTCACAAATCCCAAAGCTCTAGTTCTCATGTCTCCTTATCTCATCCACTACTTCCACCGCACTTTCATCTACCCGCTTCGCATTTACCAACGTACCTCTCAACAGAATACCAAAACCACTATTGGTTTCCCGTTGATTTTGACCTTTAATGGATTTTTGACTCAAGCATTGAATACTTACATACAGGCTAGGTGGGTTTCTCATTATAAAAGTGATTACGATAGTGATGGTGGTTTGTTTTGGTGGAAATTCTTTGGTGGATTGGTGGTTTTTCTGTGGGGCATGAGAATTAATATGTGGGCTGATACGGCTTTGTTGGTTTTGAAGAGTGAAAGTGGTGGATATAAGGTGCCAAGAGGAGGGTGGTTTGAGCTGGTAACTTGTCCTAACTACTTTGGAGAGATTGTGGAGTGGCTTGGATGGGCAGTGATGACTTGGTCATGGGCTGGGTTTGGTTTTTTCCTCTATACATGTTCTAACTTGGTGCCTAGGGCATGTGCCAATCACAAATGGTATTTGCAGAAGTTTGGAGAGGATTATCCCAAGAATAGAAAAACAGTGATCCCTTTCTTCGTTTAGTTATTGATAGAACTGCGTAGAAGGAAGAATTTGAAGAAGAAGAAGAAGATATTATTAGCTGTTATGTTAATATATATCTATATATATGTATGTATGTATTAAGAACAATAAAATTATTATTAGTTGTTATGTTAATATATATCTGTATGTATGTATGTATTAAGAACAATAAAATTCCAATACCTGAGGAGCTTTTAGTTAATTTAACTCTTGCAAAATATCAACGGGGATCCTTGACCCACCTTAACAGATCCGAACACAACGTTAACTGCAATAACGACCACCTAGTAAAACAGAGCGAAAGTCTCCAAATAATCTCCATTAATACACAAATATTAGAGAAACACAAAATTTTGCATCAAATCATCAACAATGGCATCCTCCTTTGATTCATTCAACCCTGAAGGATATCAAAATGACCCCACAAAGCAGCATGTCCAACGTGATTATGATGTTGGCTACCCAGGTGATGACACATCATTCCCTGGGGCAACACCATTGGCTCAATAAAATTTCTTCAATGACAACATCATGCATTCTTCTGTGTATGGGTTTGGTATGCCTTCTCCAAGTCCAGAATTTCCCTCAACTTTTGAGTCTGAGGTGTTTGAGACTGGTGGTGGTGGTGGGGTGTGTGTGTGTGTTTTGGCGCAAGTGAGTTTTGTTTTTGTTTGTGGAATTGGGTTATATTCGCTTTCTTGATTGGATCTGGATTTGAGTATTGTACATTTGGAATTTGCAATGGGGCTATGGTTTAATGACTGGGGAGGTGGAGTTTGGAAGAGAAAATTTGATATATATAATTTTGATTGACGTTTGATGTTTCAGAATTAAGATGATCGAATTATGTAGGATGATTTAATTGAAGATAAGCATCGATTTTATAAATTTGGGATCATCTCATTCTCTTTTTTTTTTATTATTATTATTGGAATAGATAAACTATCATTAAAAAAGGTCTTGGGAGACCATAAAAGGAAAAGTTGATGATGATGGGAGCCTAAACCATCTGTTTTTAGAAGCAGCAAGACATTGATTTTAAAATCTTGTTCTTGAGACATTGCTAATTTATTGAATATCAAGTTTTTAATTAGAATTGAAAGGGGTTTAAACAATCAAATTAAAGTCTTCTTTTTCTTTTTTTATTTATTAAAGAATTGATTGGTATAGAAAGCAGTCATTCAAAGGCTTTTTGAATATCCTCTAGTAAAACAGTTAAGAGTTCATCTTTTCAATAGTTTTTTTTATTGTTCCCTGATTAGATTGATATGAAGCAACGACAGTACTAAAACCTCTTTGATTTTTACATGCTGCTAATTTTGCATTACACCATACTTGTATTGCACTATGGCTAATTCAAAATCTTAATGTAAAAGAGGGCTTCTAATTTTTATAGATTCATCGGAATATTGTCGAAATCTTCTAGAGTAATCTTTGTTTTTTCTTGATCATTTATATTGTATTTCTCTAATTATCTTTTTACGATCCTTTCTGATGAAAATGAACTAGAACAGACTATAATTTGCTGCAACAGATAGCTTTCTTTCTTATGGTGAATTGTCAGTGCAGAGTTGCATGGTTTTTGTTTTGGCTGATCACATGCAGATATGAAGTGGAAGTTCAAAATCTTCTTATGTGTAGGGGATGATAAGGAAGGCATCATATGGATAAAAATTTGACATCTTATGCTAATGAAGATTTCACATACGTATTTTGCAGGCAGAATGCCCTCCATCTAGAGGAAAAGGAAAAAAGAGAGAAGGAGATGAGAAACCAGATCATCAATGAAGCTGAAGAGTATATACGGGCTTTTTATGAGAAAAGGAAGCAGAATTGTGAAACTAACAAAGCTCAGAACAGAGAAAGAGAGAAGGTAAAATTTCTGTAAAGACACTTTTCCAATGATTCTTCCCCATTTCTTTCGACGTGCAGATCCGCACTGAAGTTTTCTACATTCCTTCCAGCTTTATTATGATGTGCTTTTCTGCAGCTGTACTTGGCAAACCAAGAGAAGTTTCACAAAGAGGCAGATAAACATTACTGGAAAGCCATTGCAAAGATCATTCCTCGAGAGGTGCCAAGTATTGATAAAAGAAGGGGTAGAAAAGATGATGAAAAGTAACCTTCCATTGCTGTAATTCAGGGTCCAAAGCCCGGAAAACCCACTGATCTTTTAAGGGTGAAACAGAACCCTCCACATCACATGATGCCTCCCTCTCCCACATCTGCCAAAGGTGGGAAGGATGAAAAGAATGGGAAAGATGCCAAGGATGTGAAAGTTGAGAAAGATGGAAAGGATGAAAATGAAGGGAAAGATGCCAAGAAGGGAAACCCTCCTACACCAACTGCTGCTACTGCAGATGCAGCTGCGACTGCCGATGAAAACAAGCCTGCTTCACCTTCTAAAGGCATTGCCAAGAGCACTTCACTTGACTCATCAAAATTAGATGCTCTTGTTGCTGCCGTTGCTGAAGGTAAGCAAGCTGCTGACATTGAACCAGCCACTGCTTCGTAATGGCACCCCATAGTTCTTTCTACCAATTCCTATTTGCCTTCCAAGCTCACATTATGTTGAATGCGAACAAGCTCAGCTCTCTACAGATGTTACCGAGCCTGTGGCACGGACTGTTTAGAGTTTCTTCCAACCTTGTTTGAGATGTAGTAATGGTGAAGTTGAAAGTATTTTTTATTAAGAAATATATTAAAATAATATTTTTTATTTTTAAAAAGCTATATATCAAAATAATTTAAAAACATAAAAAATAATAATTTTTAGTAAAAAAATCAAAATTTTTGGTAATACGGTTTATGTTTCATATGCAAACTGTGGTGAAAATCCTTCTTATTTTTTTAAAATAAATAAATATAATTTCATCATTTTCATGTTAGTGATGTAAGGAATTTTTAATTTTTTCTTTTTTATGAAAGTGATTTTGAGCTTCAAATTTTTAATCCCTCGAAACTTTATTTTTATAGGCCAAGCATGAAAGCCCATGGACCATTGTCTGATTGAAACGGGCCTTGACTACAGCTAACAAAGTTTGGTCTAAGAATGAAAAAGTCCATGGATCATTGTAAGATTAAGATGGGCCTAGTGAGACAACAGCATGCATAGGAGGCCATAGATATTTTAATTGGTCCCTCTACTGGTAAGCAATATTTAATTAGGTCCTTCTATTAATATACGGTTGCATTGTGTCCTTCTATAGCACTTAGCATTTGGGAATGCGTTTGAAACCACATTTTATAAAAATTTAAAAATTATTTTTGTTAAATCCTTTTAAAAAATAAAAAATATTATTTTAATATATTTTTAAACGAAAAATACTTTAAATTATAAATGTTATCTAAATCCCAAACAGCCAATAGTTGAGAAATTATAATGTGAAACACGTACCTAATCCGATTAGAATTTCATGTTTTTAATAAAAAATCAAATAGTTTTTGCTAAATAAAAGAAAAAAATCTAAAATTAAAATTAGATAAAAAAAACATTTATTCTTGTCCACGTGTCACAATATCATTCATCAATTATTGTTACTAGGTTTCCATTTCTACGAAGACAAAAAATGATGATTTCGACGACAATGAAGCAGCAAAGCTTTCTAGCAGTTACTGGGTTTCCATTTCCACGAAGACAAACGAAATTGGACATATTTATATTTCCAACTCCAGCTCCAACATCTTTAGTACTACGATTCGACAACAACTCCACTTGTTGTCTTATTAAGGTCTCTTTTATCTGGAAAAAATAAATAGAAGTTGAGAAATAATTTTTTTCATGGTTTGATTTGGGTTTTTGGATTTTTTAGAACTGTTTGGAATTAATATATTAATTATTAGTATGATAAGGATGTTTGTTAAATATTTATAAATAAAAATAAATTAAAAAATAAATTTTTAAATCTAAAAACTCCAAAATGATTTTTTACCACCATTGTGGTCAAAGGCTAGCTTTATAGACCTAAATGAGTGGCTTTTAAAAAATATAAGCCAAGCGTGGCATGCCACTTAGGCCCAGACATTTGATTTTTTATTTAAATTTTATTGAATTAAAATAGATTAATTAAATATATGTATGGGATTTTTCTTTAATTATTCCTTAACTTCTCGTAATCGATAATATATATATATATATATATGTATATATATATTTTAAAATTTTCCCAAATATTGATGGTTAAATATAAGGATAATTTCCTTTTGTTTTGCTCGAGGGAAAGTTTTTTTTTAAGTGAATTTTAGAGAAAATAAATTATTTTTTAATATTTGATAGTATTATAGAAAATATATTGAAAAACATTTTTCAGTGTTTAGTAATGTTATTGAAAATAAACTGGAAAATAATTTATTAATGTTTTATTTTTCTCAAGTTTATTAAAATAACGAAGAACAAATCTTACAAATTAAAAAGTTAAATAAGAATGAAATTAAAAAAAAATATAATTTCATAAATTATTTCAAATAAAATAAATAATAATCAAAATAATAAAGATCAAATCTAAAAAAAAAAGATAAAGAAATTAAAATAATAATAATTAACATTTCAGAAAACATTTCAAATAAAATATGTAACAATCAAAAGAATAAGGATGAAATTTGATAGATAAAAAATTTCAATAAAAAAATAATAGAAGAAAAGCAAATAACAACTATAAAATTGAGGATCAAAGTTAATATAAAAATTAAATTTTAAAAAATTAAATTAAAAAATAAATATTCAAAATAAAATATATATAACAATCAAATTTTTGAAGATCAAATTTGATATAACCAGTAAATAATGACATTTATAAATTTTTCACAACTTCTAGAAAGTGTTTTCCGCCTAAATTTTTTAGGAAAATACTTTCCTGAAAACCAAACTAAATTTGCTTTTTGACTGAAAAGTGTTTTTTGTTGACCAACTTTCTTGACAGCAAACAAACATAATAAAATTTGAAAAGTGGTTTTCCGGAAACCACTTTTCAAAAAACGAACACAGCTAAAAAGAAAAACACTTTTCTAAAAATCAAAATAAATTTTTCTTTAACTGAAAAATATTTTTTTGTTAATTAGAAAGTATTTTTCGTTAACAAA